CAGAATAGAGCAGCTGTGTCTGTTAACCAGCATCTTTAAATAACAGAAACTTAATTGGGCTTGTGTCTCTTCTAGCTTTAGCAAAGTAACTGTGGAAGACTTCATCAGATACCATAATAATAAAATACCTATCTCTTATGTAGCACTTTTCATCAGTAACTCTTAAAGAGCTTTACAAAAGAAGGTGAGTATCATTATCCCCAATTTACAGGTGTGGAAACTGAGGCACAGAGATGAAGTAAGTTGCCCAAGGTCACCCAGCATACCAATGCCACAGCCAGGAATAAAACTCAGGTCTCCTGAGTTACAATCCAGTGCTCTATCTGCTAGGTCACATTGTCTCACTTTATATTATATTACCTATTTAGTGTTTTATAAAGGAATTTTACTTTCAAATTGCTTGCCTTACCTCAGTTAACTTTGGATTTCTCCTAAAGAAGATGGCATTCTCTGGTTGAGAAAACAACACTTCCATGCCTCTGATAACCCACATGGAAAGCAAAACAATAGCTGTTCCAGTTTTGCAGACTTGAGCCAGATTCTGCACTGTGCTGAATATCACCTGCAAGGTTCACATTGCTACCATGAACTGGCAAAAGGTGCTCTAGTATCAGATACTAGTTGAGGAGGTCTTTACATGGTAACTAAGTAGATGTCTTTGCCCACCCTCCCAGCCACACATACAACTCTCTTACCAGAGTTTGGTGGTATTTAAACCTGGGCTAGCTGCCTGACTGGGCTTCAGTGCCACTTTCACTTGGGCTGGTAACCAGCCCACTTTTCAGTGAGGATGCAGGCTAAATCATTTGAGTGTGGATAGTCCTCCAGTGCCTTCCTACAATTCCCCCCTGCAATTCACTGTGAAAGTTCCAGCTTACTGCAGCAGATGTGTCCCCAGAAGTTCTAGCAACGCACATGTGGGGGAGTGAAGCACTAATGAGGACCCACTAACCTTCAGTGTGGTTGCTCACATCCAAGCTAAGCTAATAAGGATGCTCAGAAGCAGTCGCTGATCACTCAAGTTAATTCTGCAATGAAAACATACCATAGGGACACTCCTTAAATAAAATCAGTTGTGGGGTTTTTTTCTGACTTAGTTAGCAGGAATAGAACTGCCAACAGGACTCTTCAGTGTGTACTTCCTAGCAATCATTTGTAATCTAAGTCTTTTATAAGAACTTTACTTTTGTAATTTTTCAATAATATCAAGATGATGTTTCAAACTTATGAAGAACTGATTTCAAAATTATTTCATGGTACCAACTGCTATTGAAAATCAGCTTTGTTGTTGCTACTCTTGTCTCACAGTCTTATATTATGTCAAATGGAATCTTTGCCAGCCAATCAGATTTCAGGATAGCTAACCAGTAATCATTAGTAAACATTAAAAAAGCAAGTGAGTCTCTCCAGACAGCGAGAAACAAGTTTCTAAATAAAAATGAGGCATACTTCAGATTGTTCTTTTCTAGAAGTTGGGCACTGATTAAAGTCAGCACAAAAAGCTGTTCTCCATCCAAATGCAGCATAATAAAAAGATTAAATCCACATCATTTGTTTGCTCTGACAGTAATTTAAAAACAACTGTCACAAGATCATTGTCTCTTACTTGCATCAGTGTCTCTAAAGCAGCAAGGCTGTATTATCCTGTGATGTCCTATTTCACTACCACTATCCATTCTTTTTTATATATTCTTTAGTGGCAACTTCAAAAGAGAATTTTCAGAGCACTCATTTCCCTCCTTGACCTGAGCCCATATACTAGTACTGACCCCCAGAGAAACTCTCCACTGATGTTAATGGGAGTTGTGCATGTAGCCAGAAGGCAGTGTGTGGCTTTAAGTATGTCTTTGGTAGCATAATTTGTCATCATCATACCTGTGGAAAAGTAAAAGGAGCTTAGTTAAAGCTTCTTTATGAAGTCTCTGGTTTATAACATGTCCAGCGCTGAAGGGATATTCAGTTCTGGCCATTCAGTTTATTAGTGTTTGCTCACTTATTAGCATCATTCATGGATATAATGTGGCTGCTCTGCAAACTCATTTCAGTGTCAAGTATCCTATAACACACATCTCTCTTACCATGTTTTTTAATTTGGGGTATACATTTAAGTTGAGCCTCTATTATGGTGTCTTTAAAAAGTTTCCATGCAGCTTGCAGGGATTTCACTTTTGGCACTGTACCTAATGTAACCCTAAAAAATGTTCCATACAGCTGAAATATGTAAGCCCAACAACTCATTATTAGAGGCATCTGTCACCTTATATAAAATGTTGGCATTATAAAACAGGTAGCTCTTCATTCTTTTCAGAAGTGTTTTTGTGATATTAGAAAGTCTTACTGTGATTTTCCAAGTACATTTGCTGTTTGGAGGGTAAACTCCAGGGAATCCTTCACTCCCAATAAACCCTGACTCTCCAGACAGAATTCCTCCACATGTAAAAGCAGGCCTGGGAATAAAAAAAATACTGCTTAGTTTAGAAATATATATTCCATCAACACTTTCTATAATGCTGAAGATGGAAAGACTATTAACCTGTGTGGTGGGTATGTCAGCTAAATGTTGATACAAAAATGTACAGCAACTTTAAATAAAGGATTGAATAACATTAGCAGATATTTAAATTGTAGTATAGTACAACTTTTAATGCACAAACTGAGGTGTGGCTAGAATTGACAGCTCAGCCCTTAAAAATTTTAGATATAGTGCTGCATGCTGTTATACTTACACAGTTTGTTCAAGTACAAGCTTTGCCCTGTTCATAGTAAACAAAATAGGAGGGGAAAATACCACAACAATTTATATTTCTATAAAGAGCACACTTTTCCAGCAGTCATTAGAAAATGTAAAGTTAGGTGTCGTCGTCCCCCCTCCACACCCCATTATCCTCACTCTATTAAAATGACAATTTATTGCAGAATTCTAAAGCAAGCCATCTCATAGATTTTTTTTTTTTCTATACTGGGAATACCAGGACCCATAATTCGCCATCAATGCAACTCCTGTTTGCATCACAGCATCCATTTGGAGCTGCACTGGTGGCAATTATAGATCCTAATTTCCTCTAATGGCGCTGATGGGTAATTAGGCCCTGGCTCAGCGAAGCATGCTTAATGTAAGCACGTACTTCATGCTCGAGTACTTTGCCATGGCTGTAAAACTCTCTGAAATCACTGAAAAGGTGATATGTAGAAATGCAAAATCAGTATTAAAAGACAAGAATGTGGCAAACAGCCAAGGTGGTGGGCGTTGTTTTTCTTCCCATGAATCCAGTGCTGGCAAGTTTATTCATCCAAGAAATTATATAACAGGGTGTTTGTTTTTAATTCCAATATCCCCCAAAATAAAAAAAAAACCCCTTTGAAGGTATAACCAGAATCTTTTTTTCAAATTAAATACAAGAAACTGAGACGCTTGAGCTTTTTTTGTACAATGCCAACAAATGCTTGTATGCGTTACTAGAAAAGGACAGAGTTTCCGTGCTCATTTTTTCTCTTTCATAAGAGAAAAGTAGAACAGAGGAGACCCTGATTAAGTGAGCTGTAGCTCAGGAAAGCTTCTGCTCAAATAAATTTGTTCGTCTCTAAGGTGCCACAAGTACTCCTTTTCTTCACACTTTGTAATTTGCACAAATAATGCTGATCTGAATGCCCCAGTCCTCAGCAAGCATTTTGCTGAGGTGATGTTTCATCAAGATTTTGTTATATTTACTGGTATAGGTCAAGTGTTAGATCCTACTTAAGGCTTTTTTCTGCAGTCAGAACTGCCTGCACAGATCCTGGGTGCCGTGGGGGCATAAATGAACAAAATATATTGCGATGCAGTATCCCTGCTTTTTCCTGTTCTTATCCAGTCACTTAATTTGCAAGGTTCAATTATTGCAATGGGCCTTTCAGTCATTCGTGTGAATTCCGGACGTTTCACTCTCGCTTGTTAATAGCAGAATGGGTTGATTTAGAGGGGAATCCTTTAAGATTAGTGCCCTGGATTCTTGCCCTTCTGAGTCTTCCCTCGCGCACAGGCTCATCCCCTCCCGATGTAACACATGCCAAAGAGAGCCTCGGGTCCCACCTTTCCCCCCCAGCGAGGAGTGGGGGACAGGGGCTTCGGGTCTTTCCTTCTCTGACTGACACCTCTCTCCTCCCGCCTATTCCCACAGGAGACAGAGAAACAGAGTCGCCTTGGACAGAGCCCAGCCGCCCCCACCCACCCTGCCTTGGCGCCGTTCTGTGGCGAACAAGATGTTCCCTCCTTCTGCCAGGCAAAGAAGGGGCTGCAGCTCACCCACCCCGCCCGTGGCACCAGGCGAGGGGTGGCCGCCGCAGCCGGGCAGGGAGCAGCCCAGGGGCTGGCTGGGGAGGCGCCAGCAAGGGGCAAAAGCGCGAGGCGGTGCCTCAGCGCCCCCTCGTGCTCCTGCCTAGGTGCCTCTGGCGCCCGCCGGGCTCGGACCCGGAGGCGCGAGAGCGGGAGCCGCAGCGCGGGCGAGGGACGGCGGGGGGTAACTGCAGGCTTCAGGAGGAGGCGGTTGAAGGGCAGGCAGGAGTGTAAGGGGTCCGGAGGCAGCGGCAGGGGGCAGAGCTCTGCGTGGCCCAAGTGGCAAAGCAGTGGCTGGAGGGGGCGCCCCCACGAGCCCGGCGGCGCTGCTGGCCCGACGAGCCGTTACCTCAGTTGCGGCGGCTGCTGGCGGGAGAGCTGAGCGGCGGCCAGCAGGAGCCCCAGGCCCCAGGAGCACGCGGCTGGCCTCATCGCGGGCGCCCCGGCTCGCCTCTGCCGAGCGGCGGCTCCTGGGCGGGGGGCTTTTAAAGGCAGGTTGCGGGCTCGGCAGCCTCTCCGCGCGGTCCCCCTGGAGGAGTTTCCCTGGCATCGCGCCGCTCCGCGTGAATATCCCGGTTGTTCTTCCAGGCGAGGGGAGGAGGGAAGAGGCTTCCCCAGCCCAGAGCTACCCCCCGCCCCTTCGCCCAGTGCTTGGAAAACTTCCCTCGCGGCCCAGGGGCAGGAGTCTGCTGCCCAGAGGCTCGGGCAGGAACATGCCGCTCAAAGCCCCTGCAGCCCGGGCTGCGTCTGCCCCCTGCCTGCGCGCTGGCCCCTGGCTCGCGTGGTGGGCTGGCCGCGGAGTCCAGCGGCGGTCGGCAGCGCGCTGGGTGAGTTGGGGGGAGGGAGGTTACTGTGGCGTGTCCAGGGCGAAGATCACCACAGCCCCCTGCTCGGGCCAAGTGTGAAGCCCGGTCCGGGCAACACAAAGCACAGAGCCACTGCTCAAGCGGCTGTAAACATCCAGCTCGGGTGGGGAGTGTTTGTTTAACCGCGAGTCCAGTTCCTTGGGCTTTTTTATTAGTAGCAGCGAAACTGTAACTTTGTGATTCCTCCTTTTCCTCAGGAGCGGTCCTGACAGTTACTTCGTTTCAGGGACAGCGGTTCTTTTGTCACAAGAACCTTGTACATGTCAGATCTCAGCTGGCAGATGGAGAAGAAAAATCTTCCCCATCCTTCAAAAACTCAGTTACTGATTGGCAAAGGAGAAATGATTTCCTATAGTGAAGGAGGAATGTGTATTTAAGTTCAGCTCTCAAATTTCACAAGTAATTTGTAACTGTCATGTTTAGTTATGTTTCAGAGTAACAGCCCTGTTAGTCTGTATTCGCAAAAAGAAAAGGAGTACTTGTAGCACCTTAGAGACTAACCAATTTATTTGAGCATGAGCATCTGATGAAGTGAGCTGTAGCTCACGAAAGCTCATGCTCAAATAAATTGGTTAGTCTCTAAGGTGCTACAAGTACTCCTTTTCTTCATGTTTAGTTATGTGGGGCCTGGGGAACTGATCAACCTTACAGTCCTCAACAGAAAATGAGTCTGTGCTCTGCACAGTCTTGAGAATAATCCTACATAGTATTTACTGTACACACAGACTGACTCAGTAGTACCTGGACATGCACAAGAAGCCTGAATTAATGTACATTATCAGGAATGTTTTAAAAGGCTACTAATTATCTCAGAGAAACAAATAATTACACCATGTTTGTAATGCAGGGTTTTGCATTTCATAAATGTGGCACACCACACCAATTTTGTTTATACGGAACACAAATAAACTCAGTGTCATCATCTGTACAATTAAGTACAGCTTTGTCAATATTTGTAAAATACTAGTACTGCTTTCAAAAAAATTCTTTAAAATTCTAAAATAAATTTAAAAACGTCATTTTGTTTACCAGTGGTAAATATTGACTCGTTAGAATAAGGTAGCATTTAAGATCTGACTGTAACAAGGGTACTCTTTAAGGCCCTGTGGGGACTACTCATCTAGTAAAGTTAAGAACATGTGTAAGTGTTTGTAGAGTAGGAGCCTAAATTAATTAACTGAGAAAAGTAGTGAAAAAATGAAATCTTAGTAGTATTGTAGCTATTATTTTAAGTTTACCAAGAACCAAATAGTAGTTAAAAACATACATTTTATTTTGAACAATTATTGCAACTAACATTATAATCTTGAATGTCCTTCATTTAAGATCAATATCCTTAAAATAAATGGATTAAAAAACCACCTCTAGGACAGACTGGACACTAAATAAACACATGGACAAGAGTGAAATGAAATTGCCTGGGCAAGAACCTGGAACTTTACTTGAACAGATATTATTTCTTATGTGAATACTGGTGATAATTTAAGCCTAAAATGTATCCAGTCTTTTATTCATCTACACATAAAGATAACGTTTTAGGCTCACATTAGTGACATTATTCAGCACAGACCTAGTGTGTCTTGGTACAGCCAACTGCAGACTGGACTGAAAGAAATCAGACAGAACTGCTCTAGTTCAGAAAACTATTCACCAGCTAGTAGGGCAATAATGTAAACCTATTTTATGATTTATTAACTTACTTTGTTATCTGTTAAGCACTTGACATGCTTACATACATACAAAATGCAAATAAGGGAAGTCCCCACCTCAAAGAGCTTACAGTCTAAAAGACACACAGAGATAAGACTAGATGCACAGGAGACCCCAGGAAGGATCCTATAAACTTAGAATTAAAAAGTAAAATATAAAAAACCTTCTCTCTCTCTCTTTCCTCTAAGGAGCGAATTCTTGGGAGAATTTGAATGGACAGAGGTGGGAGCCTGCTTCACTGGGACTGAGAGGGTGTGAGGAGTGAGATGCAGCAGAGAAAAACACTAGGCAATGAAAGGGTAGTGATCCTGACACTGGTAGAGTGAATTGGGGTGCGGGGGGACTGATGGGAGATGCAACGGAACAAGATCTGAGCTGTGCAGGGCCTTGGAGACAAGGATAACTTAAAACAGCAGTTAAGAGGTAGTTGATGCAGGGATTCAAAGAAGGAATTGACATGGTTAGCTCAGTGGGTGAGGGAGAAAATGTTTGCAGCTATATTCTGGGCTGACTTGAGGTGTGTGATACGGGAAACAGGGAGGCCAAACAGGAGGAAGTGAAGACGCCTTGGCCAATAGGCTTGTGTTGGGTAGCTCAAAAGGTTAAATAACTATTATGCATATATTTTTAATTTGGAAGAGACTGCTGGTAAAAGGTGATAGATTGATGCCAGTGAAGGTCAAGGTCTTTGACCAGTTTACAGACCATACATACCACAGGCAACAATGTAATCTCCATCTCTTCCCTCCACCCAACACACATCCTTCCCTGGTCCTATCAATGTGTTTCTGAATGCAGAGAAGACCAACCATTTAGGGATGAGAAGGAGGTTCATTCTTCATGTCCATCGAATATTTGGCCTCACTGCTGAATGAGAGGGTGTTGATTATAATGGTGGCTTTTCTGAAGCACACGCTTAGGGCCAAATTTTCAAAGACCTCATTGCATGTGTGCCGTGGCGGCAGCAGGCACAACCTTTTCTGCACCCCTCTCAAATTGTGCTGGTTACTATTTTTCAGAAGATCTATGGGTGTGCACAGGGAGGCTGAAAGTTAGGGCGGACAAGAGTGTATCCATTCACAGCACAGAGAATTTGAAAAGAGGCTTCAGAATGCTATTTTGAATCCTGCTATTTCTGCACCTCTACTTCTGTCTTTCTTAGGAGAGCAGCATTATTCTCTGCTGCCCTTGGCTCTGTTGGAACACACCCTGTATTATAGGCTGGAAACAAGGCATATAATCTAAAAGAAAACTGCACTTAGTAAATGTAAATAACATTGCAGAAAACAGTTCAACTTTGCAGCATACAACTCAACTATGAGCAGAAACAGGGACAAGACTGGCTGGTCTCCATCAGCATTAGCAGAAGAAAGAGGAAAAAGAGCTCAGTAAGCAATTGAACATTTTTTAAAGTGTTACCACTCGTATTAATCTTAAACTACTCTGCTAGTGTTTGTCAGTATAGTCTGGAGTTAGCATTCCCATCAGTCTCTTAGAGGTTAGATCTCAGCAGGAGGAAACAGTGGAAGGAACAGTAGTGAACTTTTAGATTGCATGCAAAATATATTAAATTATTTAGGTTGCAAGGTCAGATGTTCAAGAGTTAGGAAATGCCAGATTTATGCTTGCCCATGCAATCTTAGTTCTGTCCCTTTCTGTGTCTCACCTATGCACTAAATGAGGTAGCGATTCTATGCAAAAATTTTATGTGCTTGTATAATTAAATACCATATCCTAATGCAGACACACAACTTACTTCCTTAACTTTCAAGGAAAAGGAAAGTAACTTCTCTTTAAAGGAAAGTAACTTCTCTTTAAAGGAAAATGCAAAAAAAACAAATTCCATTTTATTTAACAACCCTATCCCCATTAGGCATCATTATCAGGGTTGGAACTCTGAACCGTCAGCACTGCAGTAGAACAGTAGCAAGAGATGGCTGCTATCTGAGAGGGGGTTACATTGGTTTGGTATACATTCTTCCTTCTTTGATACTGGCATTGCCAAGGCCTCCTTTCCTCTCCCCTTCAATCATCTCCCTTTCTCTCTACCAGCATTTTTCATAAACAACTGAACAACTTTACAAGAGTAAATGTTTTCCAGTGTCTATCATCCTGGGCCATGTTTAAATTAGTGGCCTAGGGTTGAAAGAGTGTCTCTCATTACCAAACGTCCAAAGAAGATATTTTATGTAAACAAAATAGGAGACAAGCTTCCAACCCATTGTCTGGCTAGTCCGTCTTTTTTCCCTGAATGTTAAACAATTTTTTGAACTGGAAAACAGCATTTTTTACTTAAGATGTAACATCATGCTTACAATCAGCTAGATTTTGAAGCAGAATCGGTAATTAATAAATACAATTTTAAAAAGGACCATACAAATAAAAATAGACATTGTTATTCTGTACATTAAATAGATACCATTCCCTAGAAAAACCCACATGGCATATATACACCTGAAAACAGGAGCTGGCTGCTGCTGTGTGTGTGACATAATGTAGTACTAGAAAACCTGGTTTTGTTCTTATAAACAGACAGGGACACACTGCAGTTCGAGACATTTGGTTTTAAGAGAATTCCAAACAAAGTTGCATGTAACAGTCTTCTTTATATGGAAATATTAACTAATGAATGCTGTTCTCTTACAGACAGTATGAACCTTGTGTTCCTCTATTCCTTGTTTCAGCAGCAATAGGCTGCTGCACTTTGAAGTGAATAGCACTTTGATCAGGAACCCAGCTTTATAAATTTATGGGTCACAGCAGGTCCACTAATCCTGCTATAAACACAGGGTAATGCCATTTCTTAATGGAGAATGGGGATAGTGCAAAGTTCAAGTGTAAGTTCCAAACTTCAGATCAGAAGTTCTGCCTTTGCTTTGAAAAGAGCCATCAATATGGTATTCCTATTGCTTTTTCAAAAGGCATATGGCCTCGTTCTGATCTCTCTGTGTTTTTACACAAACATAACCCCATTGACATCAGGCAAGTTATCCTGATTTGAACTGATGAAAATGTGTTCAGAACAAAGCTCTTTATTTCTTCTGGCCTTAACTTAAGCACCAAGTTTTTTGTTTTTTTTCATTACGTCTTACCTCTCTTCTTTCAAGGAACACCAACATTAAAATTGCACTTCTTTCACAAACATTTTTACTTCACATTCTTCCAAGTCAGTTGTTGACTTTGTGCATTTGACCCAGAGGAAGAGATTGAGGGCTAATACTGCTTTATTGCTTGATAACTTGGGTGCTATCATATAAATACTAATAATTTGTAAACCTTCCTAAGACAAAAGAGGTCCAAGAAGTATCAAATGATATGCATGTTTACCAGGATGTTTTAAGATTGTCAGGACTCATGGTGTGTAGTGCACAGATATTTCATTATAGGCCAGGTTTCATATAAGACTGTGCCAACATTTTCTAATGGACTTTCAAGAGTCCGTTACCTGGTAGCATGAATGTATAATTACAGAGTCCCACAGAGGGTAACAAAATTGCTAAGGTAATGGATTCTGTGGGATCTTCTAAGAGTCATAATAACAAACTATTTATCCAAAGGCTTCAGCACTGCAAATTAAAGATATTGGTCCAAAGAAAATAGTCAAGACACAAAAGAAACATCTGCACAAAGCTCTGGAGTTGAAGGCCATAAGATTAGAAAACCAGAAACATATTAATGTTGTCACTGATGTCAGACAATCTTACAGCTGTCTGATACATCAACAAGCAGGGAGGAACCAGGAGCTTCAGTCTCAATAGGATAGCATTAGAGTTCCAGCATTGGGCAGGGCATCCTCAACTGTCAATAAAAGGTTTCAGAGTAGCAGCCGTGTTAGTCTGTATTCGCAAAAAGAAAAGGAGTACTTGTGGCACCTTAGAGACTAACAAATTTATTTGCACGTAAGCATCCGATGAAGTGAGCTGTAGCTCACGAAAGCTTATGCTCAAATAAATTTGTTAGTCTCTAAGATGCCACAAGTACTCCTTTTCTTTTTGTCAGTAAAAGCCATTCACAACAAGGGAGCACGAAAAATAAAGACAGATTGTCTCAGCAATCAATCGGTATTCCAGGCCAAATTCAGCATGAATTGGCAAGTATTCAAGTAGATTAATATTATGGATGGAAATTCCAAAAAGCTGGATCCATTTGCCTTGGCAGAGAAGATTATTAATCATTCTTTGCCTCAGGGAAAGAAATAGGAAGGGAGCAGTAAAGATATTCTCTCACAGAAATGTTCAAAAAATCTGTTTTATTTTTGTTCATGAGAAGTAAAATCATCTTCAGGAGAGATATGGAAGAGAACCATCCTTGGATCCATTTGCATCAAGCAAAGTCAGAAAAGTTGTTGAAGGATATATCAATAAACTTCAGAAATATTATAGTTGAGCGTGGCTTAAACAATTGACATCTTTGGGCAAGGTACAGAAAAATAGTTTATTTTAAACTATTCCTTTTATGTACTCTGCTAACAAAGGCATAGTCCTGCTGGAGGTAGCAGATATCTGCCTGACACTCTTCATATATTTATACATTATAGTGTACACTTTCCCTACATTTCCACTGACTGAAAGAACACAAGGGAGGGAAGATGTCACTAAATGTTCATCCACATGTAGTCAAAATAAAGTGAAGTACAATTAGGAAAAAAGAAAAGGAATACTTGTGGCACCTTAGAGACTAACCAATTTATTTGAGCATAAGCTGAAGTGAGCTACAGCTCACTTCATCGGATGCATACTGTGGAAACTGCAGAAGACATTATATACACAGAGACCATGAAACAATACCTCCTCCCACCCCACTCTCCTGCTGGTAATAGCTTATCTAAAGTGATCACTCTCCTTACAATGTGTATGATAATCAAGTTGGGCCATTTCCAGCACAAATCCAGGTTTTCTCCCCCCAAAAACACACACACAAACTCACTCTCCTGCTGGTAACAGCCCATCCAAAGTGACCACTCTCCCTACAATGTGCATGATAATCAAGGTGGGCCATTTCCAGCATAAATCCAAGTTTAACCAGAATGTCGGGGGGGGGGGGAGGGTAGGAAAAAACAAGGGGAAATAGGCTACCTTGCATAATGACTTAGCCACTCCCAGTCTCTATTTAAGCCTAAATTAATAGTATCCAATTTGCAAATGAATTCCAATTCAGCAGTTTCTCGCTGGAGTCTGGATTTGAAGTTTTTTTGTTGTAAGATAGCGTGTCTTACAACAAAAAAACTTCAAATCCAGACTCCAGCGAAAACTGCTGAATTGGAATTCATTTGCAAATTGGATACTATTAATTTAGGCTTAAACAGAGACTGGGAGTGGCTAAGTCATTATGCAAGGTAGCCTATTTCCCCTTGTTTTTTCCTACCCCCCCCCGACATTCTGGTTAAACTTGGATTTATGCTGGAAATGGCCCACCTTGATTATCATGCACATTGTAGGGAGAGTGGTCACTTTGGATGGGCTGTTACCAGCAGGAGAGTGAGTTTGTGTGTGTGTGTTTTTGGGGGGAGAAAACCTGGATTTGTGCTGGAAATGGCCCAACTTGATTATCATACACATTGTAAGGAGAGTGATCACTTTAGATAAGCTATTACCAGCAGGAGAGTGGGGTGGGAGGAGGTATTGTTTCATGGTCTCTGTGTATATAATGTCTTCTGCAGTTTCCACAGTATGCATCCGATGAAGTGAGCTGTAGCTCACTTCAGCTTATGCTCAAATAAATTGGTTAGTCTCTAAGGTGCCACAAGTACTCCTTTTCTTTTTGCGAATACAGACTAACACGGCTTTTACTCTGAAACCTGTCAATTAGGAAAAAGCAAGCTAATAATTCTTGGGAAAGAGAGCTCTCTATATGTAATGGGAATGAGAAACTTGGGTAATAGTAATGCTGAAAAATATGCACAGATAATATGAAGATGCTTGGGACCATGTAAGTCCCTAGAAAAAAGGATATGGGGTGAGAGTGGACAGTGTATTGGGCTCTAGTTTACACTGTGATGTGAAAGTAAAGGACAATGCAATTTGGGGTTGTATACACAGATGCATTAAATAGTGGAGTAGAGAAAGAATGCTTCCTCTTTCTATGGTCCAGTTACAATTGGATTATTGCATTCAGTTCTGGACACCACATTATAGTTTCCCAAGGCCAGTTTTAAAAGCCCCATCGCTTCTGACTTGGAAAACGGTACTGAACCAAATCTAATAAATGTGCAAAAAGGGGCAATTGTGTAGCTTCTATGAGTGTATCATTAGGAGAAATGGACATACATTGGTCTCAGAGAAAAAGACATTTAATAGGAAATTTTCCTATTACTACACTGGCACAATAGCACCTTAATGTGTAATACTACTGAACTAACTAATAAAATATGGTGTTGTGCAATAAAGTTGGTAATTGATTACTGCAGAACACTTTTCAAAGGCAATATGAATAAGCAGTCATTTAGCTCCTCAGAAAGCCACTACAATATAGCAAAATCTCAAAATGCAGCAGTAGCAACTGGAGAATTTCTGTAACTCATTCTGATCTTTTTATCTTTTCTAAAGGAGGAAAAAAATCTCTGCTATTCATATGACACAGGAGTTTTTTTAGGGATTTTAAATATCTTTATAGATCAGATCATATGACTTTGTTATCCTAAAGTGATTGACGACAACTTTCAGTTCCCACACAGTAAATGATTACAGATATGGCAAAATGCAGAATTGTATCCTGTTCTCAGTTACACCTGTACAACACTGGCTGGAATTTGATCTTATACCAGTTTTACACTTTGCACTACACACACTGTCACTATTAACACTGGTGTAAGTGAGAATGGAATCAAATCCCTTCTGAAATTATTCCAGTTCAGTATTCCTAATATTGTTCCAAAACATTTCCTTTATTTTAATTTATAAACCCATAGATGTAACAGAGAACCATGTGGTCTAATTGGCCCTCCAAAGAATCTGCTTTGATAAAAACCATTTCCTAGGGTGGGGGAATACTTTAAGAAACTTTAGTTCATCTAACTATAAAATATCCTTTTTCTCCTGGGATTACAGCACACCTCTATAACAAAACCACAGTCAGCTGAAAACAAATATAATGACTTGCGGGTGAAGAGGGCAATGAGAAGCAAACCCTTCGCAAAATACTGATATGTAATAAGAAGACTTCCTCTACATTGAGAAGAGATGGAAAACCACAAAGACTCTACCATGATCCAAGACCTTTCCTGCAACTTGGCTTCTCTGTTGAAATGGAAGGTGCTGACTCAATTGAATTTATAACCCAGGAATCATACATCTGAATGATATGGGGGAAGCCATATCTGAAAGGTTCATTCCCACAAAGTTAAGTCCCGAACCTGGGAAAAATGTCTGTCCCTTCATTGTAATGTTAGCTGCTGCTGTTGAAGATAGATTAGTCTGGGGAGAAAAAGTTATACAAGCATTTTGAAAAGGAAGACATAGATGCAGCCATCCTCTATCGGGTACAATCTAACATTTGACCCTACATTGTATGTGCTGTTCAGGCTATCAATCCCCCGAATCCCTTCATTGGCTCCCCATTGTTCACTTTTAAAATTTAGGGCATGGGGAGGGAAGGGGAACCTTGCACTAGGACTGGACAGCTCTGAATCAGGGAGTTGCATCTGGCTTCCTGTGGTCTTCCCCCTCTCTAAATGCAGTTTGAATGGAATGCAGAATCTGGGCCAAACGGTTTCACCAGTGGCTAAAACTCAGCTATCTGCTATGTGTGCTACAGTAGTAGATTTAAATTTTTTAAATACAAAATGACTGGCATGGGAGATGCACACATACATTCAAAGGCAGAATTTTTAGCCTTTAGCACAAAATTATGTATTTTAAACACCTGGAATCTATTATGTTGCTGTTTAATGAATTTCACAGAACCATCATTACTTATTGTTTAAAGGAATATGATTGTCAGTACCAAATCCATTGCTGTACTGCAGAGTAAGTCACACATAAATACATAAATACATGCAAAAAAATTAGATTCTTTAAAAAAAAAAAAAACCTTTTCTGGCAGAGGGAAAATGCTTGTTCTGTTATCGCTAAGGCTATTTGATAGGCAGAACTGTAGACTGCATGAAATCTGTGGAGAAGTCCAACAAGTCAAATTCATGAACTCCCATGAAGTAGCACATTTGCTTCAAATAACTGTGATCAGCATAAAGACTATAAAATATTAGAGAAACTACCGTGTATGTTAAAAATTAGACCTGTTATTACATGACATGATTGTGTTTCTAAAGTTACATCTGAAGAAGTTTGGTTAATTATAATGCCTTTATACCCCAACATATTTACAGTTGGCAGTAACAATCCTGTTGTACAAATTGCAGAACTTTACTTTTGGAAAGAGTTGTATCGGACCCGTTGTATCCAATATCAAATTAAATTTGTCATTGTATGTGTATTCCAAGAGTTTCACTTATTTTAATTTTACAAAGATCTGTAGTTCATTTTAATTTTATGAATCTATGGGGAAATCATTCACCATCAACAACAAACAAAAGTTGGCTCAATTTAATATTGTTTTATAAAGTTCAGCATTAACTTTAATGCTCCTAAACTATGCTGACATTACAGTTTTGGACCCAGTCAATTGCAGTGGAAGATCCTCCACACCCCATGCCAACATACTTCAACCCATGTTTGTGGGTGAAGGGGCGATTCAGGCTCTAGGTCCATTCAGTCTTTGGTCTCAGTGCAGAGATTGCAAACAAGGTTTTCTTTAGTGCCAGCTGTGATATGGAAACTTGTGCTCCAGGAACTGCAGATCACCTAGTTCACATCCCATATGGCCTCTGAACTGAATTTACATTAATAAGAAAAAAGTAGTACCTTTTTGAGTGAGGATGTCAAAGCACCTTATAAAGAAGAGTAAGTACATTATTATCTATTTTACAGGTGGGGTGCAGGGAATGAGAGACAGAAAGATTCAGTGAGTTGGCTAAGGTCATGTAATAACTTCAGAGAGGTTATACTTGAATGTCTGAAGGTAGAATTTAGCCTAATGAATTTGAATAAAATAATCCACAATGCTGTGGGGTCTGTGTGGACCCCAATAAAATATCTGAAAATAAAATTGTTTTTAATTCATATTCATGTATCTTGTCTCTAAGCATTATCTAAATTACCATTTGGAAAATAATACAAATTGAAACAAAAGATATATAAACTGGCCCATTTGTGACTGAAAGACTAGGGACTGATTCTCCTTTTACATGACTTTTGTGGAAATGGCTTTGGGTCATGCCCTATGTAGTTAGGCAAACACTCCTTCTTAGGGATATTATGTTTTACTGTGACAAATGAACTCCATTTCAAAATTCCTCAGGCTCTTTATTTAAGAAAATGAGGGTCCATGATAATCAGAAGTTAGGGCCTGTGACCCAAACTTACAGTGACTGCAGAACAACACATTTCACTCATGTATGGGTCCCAATTTGGCTGGGGTTTGTATTTTTATGTACCCAAATAGATTCATTCATGTTCTGAACCAAGGGCTAAGTTTTCCCCCCAATGCAGCTCTGTTTTACCAGGAATTAATCTGTCAAATATAACTGTAAACAGGGAAGGCATTTGAGGCACAGGAGTACCAAAAACTCAACGGAAACCACAAAACCCCTGTAGTTTTATGTAATTATCCTCAAAATGACCAAATTGTTTTTAAATTCTGTAAAAAATAGTTGGTCTCCGACTAGAATCCTCTTGGCAGCTGTTTTTTTCTGGTGTGATTTTTACATCCAAGTTTTAAACCCCTGAAAAAAGAGAGTTAAAATGGAAAAAACTGACAGGACCATAACTATAGTGATGTATCATCTGCTGCTGCTGTGAGATTCTCACTGATTGATTTGTTGCAAGAAAAGAGCTACTGGTAAAATAATTCTCAATAAATTATTTATGGGAATAGTTATTATTATTGGATCATTACTTAAAACAGCAAGAGGGTATCAATATAACCGTATTTTTCCAGATTTCTTCAGTAGATGGACTGAATGTTTTCTACCTCAGAAGGCTGTAGCCCAAGTAGCTGCCAGTAAAACTGGAAGTTTTTCCAGGGCATGAATTCCCAGGAAACCCTCTCATAGAAGCCCTTCCTTTCATGAGAATATGTAAAATTCATAACTTTTTAGGGATACATTACAGGTTATCTACTGTTTCTCACCCTCAGTTTGATTTGAGATAATAAATACAGGATTAATAAAGCCTCTGTGGATAAACAGTATATTATTTGAAATGCTTTCTAAAGTAAGCTCATCTTTCTATTCTGTGTGTGGTGACTGGAATCTCTCTCATATACCAGGTTCTGATGGGTATGGAACAGATCAGAGAGGAACATTGATGATACCTTTTATAGGAAGGGGGAATGCAAAGGAAAAAATAAACACTTACCAAAGATCTGCCAGCTGGAGTTAACAATTTAAACAAGCTCTTAAAGAAAATTAGATTGTTTTTGAAATATTTAAGCATTAGATGCTAATTTCCTCATATGGATGTTCTTCCACATCTTTAAGACAAGCCTTTGTTGTAGTATTAAGTGAACAGACCATTTGTCCTCACCAGCAAAACAGCTCTTTCATTGGAAACCATCCAGAGAAAAGAGACATTTTAAGATCATAGCATCTTATAACATCATGGTTCTGTCCCTGCTCCCCACTGACTTCAGTGGGAGCAGAAACAGCCTGTTTATGTCCCACAACAAGAGGTGTCTATCACAGTATGCGTTTATAAAATAGTTCAAGTCTGACTAAAATAAAGAACCCTCAAGGCCTACCTAGGAGCTGAACAGAGAGTGCTGTATGGATTTCTCATACTCTGGTGAAACTTCCTAATACAAGTCAGCATTAGAAAAATTTTAGGAAAATCCAGTGTGCTCTTAGGATTTGTTTTCAATTTACATTTCCTAAGAGCAAAATCATGCAGAGGCTGTGATTGACACAGATGAGAAGCTGCCTTTGAGTCACTCACGTAAATTGTGAGATCCAAAATCAAAATCTCCAAGTGGAGAAAGCACAACATAGAATCATAGAATATTAGGGTTGGAAGAGACCTCAGGAGGTTATCTAATCCAATCCCCTGTTCAAAGCAGGACCAACACCCACTAAATCATCCCAGCCAGGGCTTTGTCAAGCCAGGCCTTAAAAACCTCTAAGGATTGAGATTCCACCACCTCCCTAGGTAACCCATTCCAGTGCCTCACCACCCTCCTAGTGAAATAGTGTTTCCTGATATCCAACCTAGACCTCCCACACTGCAACTTGAGACCATTGCTTCTTGTTCTGTCATCTGACACCACTGAGAACAGCCTAGCTATATCCTGTTTGGAACCCCCCTTCAGGTAGTTGAAAGCAGCTATCGAATCTCCCCTCTCTTCTCTTCTGTAGACTAAATAACCCCAGTTCCCTCAGCCTCTCCTCCTAGGTCATGTGCTCCAGCCCCCTAATTATTTCCGTTGCCCTCCGCTGGACTCTCTCCAATTTGTCCACATCCCTTCTGTAGTGGGGGGACCAAATACTCCAGGTGTGGCCTCACCAGTACCAAATAGAGGGGAATAATCACATCCCTCGATCTGCTGGAAATGCTCCTACTAATACAGCCCAATGTGCCATTGGCCTTCTTGGCAACAAGGGCACACTGCTGACTCCTCTAATCCCCAGGTCATTTTCTGTGTAACTGCTGCTTAGCCCAGTTGGTCCCCAGCCTATAGCGGTGCATGGGAGTCTTCCTTCCTAAGTGCAGGATTCTGCACTTGTCCTTGTTGAACCTCATCAGATTTCTTTTGGCCCAATCCTCCAATTTTTCTAGGTCATTCTGGACCCTATCCCTACCCCATAAACTTGAGCTTTGGTAGGGGGCACACAGAACCACAAATGGCATGGGACTGTTACAGAAAACAAGAGGAGACTGCTCAGAGAGTAGGAAAATGCTGAAATCCAGTCCAAAGAAGTATTTCAAGCAGCACTTACTAGGATGTGCTTAAATAGGTAATTGCATATAAAAAGAGCAGAGTTTGGCTCTGTGACGCATCTCTTTGAAGTCAGTTTGGACTATAAAGATGTTAGGTATGTAAAAAATCGGGAAGCTTCAAGAAGTGCATGGTCTGTACCTTTAAAGGTGAGATGCATGTTTTAACAAAACTCCCTCAACTGTAGCAATATGTACTGCCTTGCCTGCTCTGAGAGGGGGCTTTCAGCCTGTTATAAAGTCATATGCCATGGCTGTGGTTGATACAAAGAAAATGCTGTTCTCTTCCACCATTGCATCTACAAAGTCCTGCCCAACAGAATTGTTTCAAGTTGTTGGCAGCTTGGTAAACCATAGCTTCCTCCACTCTGAAACAGTCAGATTTTTCTTGCTGGAGCTTTTTGTCTACTTTAAGGATAAAGATCCTGTGATGGGTTGGGTCACAGAAACCCCCTTGGGACTGCCACCTGATGTGCTGAGACTACCTTTGAGCCCGTTTTCCCTGCCAGTGTGAGACTTCAGCATCCTGCCTTGTTGAGCCAGACACACTAGCCTGCTGCAAACATAGACCCAGGTCTGAACAATGTCCCCCAAAAGCTTCAGGCTTAACAGAAAATGGCTTAAGAAGTCCTCCTGTCTCTAGCACCCAGACCCCAATGGGATCCAAACTGCAAATAAATCTGTTTTACCCTGTATAAAGCTTATACATGGTAAACTCATAAATTGTTCGCCCTCTATAACACAGGTAGAGGGATATGCACAGCTGTTTGCCCCTCCCCCCAGGTATTAACACTTACTCTGGATTAATTAATAAGTAAAAAGTGATTTTATTAAATACAAAAAGGAGGCTTTAAGTGGTTCCAAGTACTAACAGATAGAACAAAGTAAATCACCAAACAAAATAAAATAAAACACTCAAGTCTAAGCCTAATACAGTAGGAAACTAAATGCAAGTAAATCTCACCCTCAGAGATGTTCCAATAAGCTTCTTCTTAATAGCCTCCTTCTAGTCTGGCAAAAAGAAAAGGAGTACTTGTGGCACCTTAGAGACTAACCAATTTATTTGAGCATGAGCTTTCGTGAGCTACAGCTCACTTCATCAGATGTTTACCGTGGAAACTGCAGCAGACTTTATATACACACAGAGAATATGAAACAATACCTCCTCCCACCCCACTGTCCTGCTGGTAATAGCTTATCTAAAATGATCAACAGGTGGGCCATTTCCAGCACAAATCCAGGTTTTCCACCCTCCACCCCCCCACACAAATTCACTCTCTCTCTAGCCCATCCAAAGTGACAACTCTTTACATAATCAAGTCGGGCTATTTCCTGCATAGATCAAGGTTTTCTCACATCCCCCCCACCCCCATACACACACAAACTCACTCTCCTCTGTAATAGCTCATCTAAACTACCACTCTCCAAGTTTAAACAAGTTAAACC